AAACTGCTTCCCCAAAGTTTTTGCATGGCTTGGAGAAGACTTCTTTGCTGTTTTTCTATGCCATGGTCACGGTATGACAGAGCAGTGAAAACAGGCCGCACATCCACACGCCAGCAACCACAGGCCTGAACTGGGCTGACACTCAAAAAATGTTGCAGAGAAAGACACATATGATTAGATATATGCGCCATTATTTAGTTTAAAGATTTTATTTGTGCATTTCTTTGTAGCGGAAAAGAGGACAGCACCTGCAAAGCTGTAGGACAGTACGTCTTAGATTTATTGATCCAGCTTTTGAAGATCACAGAGTGACAAAGGTGTAGATGTATAAGGGTTTATGCCAAACAATTGAGCGTTTTACAGACACTATTCTAAAGGTTGTCTTTTTTTGTGTGTCACAGCGGTGAGTCAGGAGCTGGCAAGACGGAAAACACAAAAAAGGTCATTCAGTACTTGGCACATGTTGCCTCCTCCCACAAAATAAGAAAAGACCACAACATTCCTGTGAGTATTCACCTTTTTCATCTCCTCTAATTTAGATTAGCGATGCCAGCTCTAAGCCATAAACTGAACTGAATGAGCCCATAAAATGTGTTGAAAAACTAATATAAATGTTGGATATGTATGAAAAATGACAACCGTTTGAAGCAAGTTTATTCTTTTGACCTATAACGCTGTAATTGGAGTAATAATCATTAGAAAAAATTAATGAGCACTTTGGCTGAGGTGGGATTGTTGTGGGATTTGCTGAGGTTAGAATGGTAAAGTTACTGAGATTTACTGATAATCACAAATTCTACAAATAAAAGTACAGATATCGATACCTGTAGTAGGCGACAATCTAACAATTTGCATTTGTTTATCTGTAACAAACAGCCAGAATCACCTAAACCAGTGAACTACAGGCAAGTCTTTATGCTTTATTACATACTGTTCATGTGCATGCTACGTTTTTCTTTCAAACAAACAAACTCATGAAGTATCTGTTGTACGTGAGCCCACTAAGGGCTCATCAGATGGTGTAAGTTCAAAGACACCAGAAGTCACATTTGACATATAATTTACTGTGTTTAGTTAAAATGCCTGGCGTTAACACTGAAAACAGCATATTTAGCATTTCTATTATCTCTCTCTGTCAGGCCCAAAATGCAATTGTAAGTACATTTTAAAAACTGGCATGATTATTGTGTTTTCTTTAAATGTGGCATTTACTTTGTTCAGATGTACCATGCTGTATATTTGCTCGCAATTATTGTGATTGACACATGGTGAAACATGCATGTTGTATTTATTTGTTGTAGCCACATGTTGAGCCTTGGGTGTTATGAAACTTAGCCATTTATGCTGCTGCAAAAATAGTTACAGTTGTACTTGTATTGTAGCAAGGCATATATCATCTGTGTTTTAGACTGTAAGTTAAGATGAAGCTGGTGACCACACCTGTCTTGCTTAAAAGCATCAGTTGAGGACATCCATTAGAAGCAAGTTTACCTGCAGTACTACTAGTTCTCAGTCCTGCTCATCAGGACCTATATCCCTGAAGCCATCTAACCTGTGACTGAATTACAGTATATCTGATATGCACGATACAAACAAGTAACACCAGCAGTAATCTGGATGACAGACCACTGAGGTATTACAATAACTCCTGAAGCTAATTCCATCCATAGACTGCTGTAGGTTGTGCTTAGATTCTGACGCTAATGCATCATTTAAAAAAAAATGTTTAGCTTGAACTACAGGTTAATTTGTATCCATGACATTAATGCAATTTATTACTTTCCATAACAATTGAATCTCCCCATGTCCTACAGAGTGGACCCCTGTTTTATGTGAGTAGTATGTAGTTTTTCATCTCACCTCACTTTAAAGGGGTGCTTTACCCACTCTGTTATCACCCACTCTTTCAAAATAACCCCTTAACTCTTTAATGTTGCCTGAAGCTGGGCAGTAGAAACTTTCCATCCACCTTAATCCACCTGCTGTAGTTTTGCTTTAACTTTTGCATTGCATGATCTGTACGTCCGGTCCTCACTGAGTTATTAGGATCTGCTTCTTGAAGATACTTAACATTTACTTACAATGTGAGAAATCAATTTTAGAAATCAATCATTGCTCTAATCTTCATTTAATAAACTAATTATTTTATTTATTTGCCTGTATAATTAAGCAGGTTATTAACTGACTAACATACACCACTCTGTCTCACTTAAAAAAAAAATAAATAAAACTGTTGGCATGTTAACCCTGAGGTTTCCAGTTTGGTTCCTGTGGGGCCTCAAAAGAGATTAAAGTCCCAGCACGTCATTTGGGAAGAATTGTGAGTGCTGTATATCGAAATCCCACAACACAAGTCAGTTTTGATGTCTGCTGACTAGGCATTAATAAAATAAGAAAATATCTATCATTATCCCAATCTTCAGATAAAATAATGTAGCTGTTGATGATGTACTCCCAGAGTTCATCGGTCAGTCAATGAAAAGTCAACCTCTAGTTTTCTAATTTACTTCACATTTATTAAGATATGATATAAAATATTCAAATATAATCATGTAATTCAAAAGTGGCTTTATACTTATTAGCTGGTGTGTAGTTTGACAGTTATAGTCATAATGACAAACTGCTGGTAAATTTAATCTGACAGCGTTTTGCTATCTGACTGAATGACTCCAGTTGATACTGTACTGTTCTGTAGCTGCTTTAAGCTAGCGTTGGCATCACGGAGTGACAGGTCAAGCCACAAAATCTCAATTCTTTTAAGGTGACAAACTTAAAACAATGAACACTTCCTTCCCTAGCTGTCATTTACATTCAAAAACTACCACGTTACCAGCCAGCTAGCATATCAAAGAGGCAAATCGCAATTTCCTTTTCGTTTCGCCAACTCAGTTACCAGTGACTGTTGTCATTATAGCCGGTGAAATAAACAGCTGCTGGCTTAAACTTTCACTTGCTATAACCTGTTAGTACTATTTGTTGCACGTACAGTATGTAATAAACTGGACAATAGTTACACCACAAGATATTTAGCCAACATGTAACCCAAGTATGATTGAAGTGCTTCACTGGTTTTTCAAGCCAGGGTCAGAACCCATGTCGACCTTTCTTACATTAAGCTAGATTCAGCCTAAAAGCTGTTTGGCCCAGATGAGTTCTCCACATTGGCTTGTTCCTGTCCAGATAAAAAATACTTTGAGCCATTTCCCAAGGAGTGTTCTCCTTTTCCTTGCTGGTGAAAAGAGCGACTTGTAATATTTGTCCGGCCTCGTGACCTCAGAGCAGATGTTAGATGCCGATACTGGCCTCTGCCTCCATAAGATTTACTGGAACAGTTTTGACTGATCCTCTTTGACTCCACTCAATCTGCACTAAAGTACTGCTCCATGGACTGCCAAACAGCCTGCACTCTGATAAGAGACAGCCTTGTAGCTTGTAACTATGACCTGTAAATGTTTTCTAGAAAGTCTTTTCTTTTAGCTTCAAAAAATAATGCGTGTATTTGTAGTGACTGATAATGTATGTTGCTTAAATTTGATCACAGCTACACAACAATTGGCCATCTTACATGGTGGAGTCAGCTCTGTTGGCTGTCAGATGTCTGACATGCTCACTTTACAGCGGGAATGTGGGTCAACTTCTAATGCTGCTAAATTGGCCCCCCACTCGTGTTTGTAATCTGCTCTTTGTTTTTATGTGCGTACAGTAGACCACACAGATGGGTAGAGGTTGCCAATGAACAATTTTAACTACAGAGTTGCACCACATGCCTATGTTTATGTAGAAACAAAGGTTTCTTTTGGTTTGAATCCCCCCTGTGGGATTTGCCACTGCTCTGATAGCTGGAAAAGGACCAGGTTTATCCAGTTCAGCCCTGCTTCATTCCAGCTGCTCAAAAACTCAATTAAAAGCAGCCCATACCGGCCAAAGATCACATTACATGTCTCACATCCTGAGTGCAATGCTGATTCCACATCCCGCAGAGTTCCTTTTTGTGGAAAATGGCCTCCACAAGCCTTCAGTGTGCACAGCTATTTTTGACGTAATGGGAAAATATTTCACTCAGCCACAAGAAGAGAAGTAACATTGCAGAAGAAATTGTTTTTCTCTCAGCCACTTTGGATTCTCTGGTCATGACAGAGACAATGTGGCTTAGATGGAAACACAGTGGGCCACCTGTCCAAACATCTGCATAAGTCGGTTATTTATTTATGCAGCCTCTCTTCGTCTTGAAGTGTCCAGTCTGACAAAAGAAATAAAAGTGTTTGTTGTGTGTTATGGACACATTCCTCCTGACATGATGGATAGGCTGTCTGGCTCGTCTCAGCAGAAATTTCCCCAGAAATGTTCTCTCAGTCACTATCAAGCACTGCGACACATCATTAGTTCAGCAGAGGTTTTCTTTGCAGTTTAAACTTCAAAAGATAAAACTTGGTTGTGAAAGTTTTATAGACACCATGTTTATTGGATTAGTTTAGATTTCATGTACTTTATAAAAGTACAAAAAGTCCTAAAGCCTGAATTCCACTGCCAAGAACTAATAGTTTCAGCATTTAGATTTCTTAAATATGATCAGATTATTTGCTTAATTGTTTAGTCCATAAATTGTCACAATATAAAACCTAAGATTAAGTCGTCAAATTGCTGGTTTTGTCCAAAACCCAAAGATATTTCATTTATAATGTCGTAACACTAAGAAAAGCAGCAGTGTTAAGTAAGCGTTTTTGTCAGATGACTGATTGTTTAGGCATTGACCAGATCAATTCAGAATTTTTAACTAATTTACCAACAAAGATTTCTTCTTTTAGAATTGTTTTTATGATTGAGAAGTGATGTGATGCCCTTTTAATTTTACTAACTGGAGTAAGGTGTTTTAATCCTCATTCCATCACATGTCTGTCACAAGATGTTACCTCTTTACACTGGTTTTGAAAGGGTGTGGTCACAATGACTCTTTGTGATGCGCTGCAGAACAACTCCAGAAAACAACCTTGAACATGTTATTCAGCACCATGTAGAAAAACACAAAGTTGTTACAATATTTATAACTATATACTAAAATAGTATCATGATTATTAAGGGCTCAATTTACAAGTTTTATATTGAAAACTACAAATACAATTGCCATTTTGTTTGCATAAAAAATAAAATAACAGCAAATACCTTTTGTAAACATATGAAAATTATCTAAATGTGCATTATCAAGATTTTATATTATATAAGTAATGCAATGTCCACGTGGACAATTACATGAAAACAAATAAGTCTTAAGAAGACAGGCATAGTAACTGCAATGAGCCCAAAAACTGACATAAATACAGAGGAGTCTGTAGCATTTCTAGATATGCTGGTTGGTTGACTAATCTGCGTAACGTGTTATCATGTGCAGTGGACGAATAGACTGCCGACACACACAGCAACAGAACAACGTGTAGTGTTTTTACAAGAGCAGCAACACTGAGTACTTCAGTTTATGCGCTGTTAGCAAGTCAGAGAGACAAACCAAAGCTAAAAATTAACTCACCCTGTGTTCACTATAAGGTTATTTTCTTAAATCAAGTTTCCCTCAGCACTGTCATAACAACTAAAATACGACCGGACTTCAGAGTGACTTAAAAATCTCCGCAGCGTTGTCTTCCGCCGTGTTGTCATTGACCCAAACAAACTCACGTTGCGTTCTGCGCATGCGCGCCTGCTTCTGGGAGACGCTGGACTGTGTTTGCCCTGATATTATAATAGCGCGGTTAACCGTACCCGGTTACCATGGTAATTAAAATGTGTAAGGTAATAACAACCGTCGGGAATTTTACCATGGTTTACCATTAAATTGGTAATCGTTTCATCCCTAGTTATGAAATCTTTTCAAGTCAAGTCTTCAGATATCTGCAGTCGCTGTCTGCATGTTTATGTTTGTATGTAAAAATCATTTTTAAATCATCATTCTTGTTTGTTGTTCTTCACTTTCATGACACAGGACTGCTGTAACATACCTGTTTTTTTTCAGGGTGAATTGGAGCGTCAACTTTTACAAGCCAACCCCATCCTTGAGTCTTTTGGGAATGCTAAGACGGTGAAAAATGACAACTCGTCACGTTTTGTAAGTACAGAAAAAATGATTATTCAAGAAGAGGGGCACCTCTTGTTACAGCACCACCTTAGCTTAATTTGGCACCTGCAATAGATTTAGGTGAAGTTTTTCTTGTTTTGCTTTTTAAACAAGCAGAGGTGAAACTGATTGAAAGTAATTTAATTATCCTACTTTTCCTATAAGCAATTACACAGGTCAAAAAGCTGGGCACATGCACCTGCTAGACATTAATGATGCCTTTGTCCATCTTTGGTGATCATCTCTAACTGGAGGAAACTCCACTCAGCAGACCTCTTAATAGTGATGTAGGATCAGAGGGGAATGAGTAAAGTCTTATCTTATTAATTAATTTAAGGGGATTTTCTTCTAGAATACTAATTATCTTTTGCTTCATAAAATAACTAGAGTAAAACTTTCTCTACATGAACCCTGGCCAGCTGTGACAGTAAAAACAGTTTGTGATCAGAAGACACTGTAAGGATCAGGACCTGCAGCCAAAAAATACAGTAAAATCCACTGGTATTAATTTGAGCCGCGTGTCAAAATAAAGTTCTCTAGTAACCATAAAGAACATTATTTTTATTAGTTTATAATGTGATGTTACAAATTTTGTAAATATTGCTTTGTACTGTATAAAATATAATATAATTAAATGATCTGTGTAAGTGTTTGTTTATCGAGGTATGCTGACTCTTAGTACATTATGCCATAAACCTCAGTGTGTGTTACATTAGAGTCATTATGTTGGCGATTGATTGATTTCTCTTCTCTCGTTGTGCACTTCCTGAGCATTTATCTTTTGTTAATCTCTGCAGGGGAAATTCATCCGGATCAACTTTGATGTCACCGGATACATTGTTGGAGCCAATATTGAAACCTGTATCCTGTTTTAAAACGATTGAGTAGAATTGACTAGACATCTGCTCGCCATCGGTCATTGTATGTGAGGTTTTTTACAAAGAAGCTAGCCACGAGTGTTTATTGGAAGCACACATCCAATGGTCCATTTACATTAAAGAATGCTTTTTAAATATGTTTTCATTATTGAAGCAGAAGATTTTTGAGAATTCAACCACTTTGACCGCTACACTAGGAAATTAGTGTTGTAGTACTCGACACCGGTCTTAAGACCACTTTTTGATGGTCTTGTCTCGGACTTGACCGCATTTGTGCTCAGTCTTGTCTCGGACATTGAGGTTATGGTCTTGACCCAGTCAAGACCATAACTTTGGGAGTATCAATAAATTGCTTTCGCATTGTCGGATTTATTAGTTAACATCCTTACTTTGATTGGATGTAAAACTTATTGCTTCATATGCAACCAATAACCCTAATTAAAAATACGCTGTTAGCGTTAACGACTGTCATTCCTCCCCGCGATGGTAAGCGTGGAAAAGGAGCATTGAATAAAGATGCTTACGTTTATTTCAGCTCTTAGTGTTTGTATGTGGGTGTTTTAATGGGAATGTGGATCTTTCAGATCAATTTGAGAAGTACCATGTAATGTGGGGAACCGGTCTTGGTCTTGACTCGGTCTTGGTCTCGACTTGGTCTCGGTTTGGGTGGTCTTGACTACAACACTATAGAAAATGTCTCATGTATACAGGACATGATGTTTTGATTCTTCCTTGACCACTCTGTGTCAGACTTACTGGAGAAATCAAGAGCTATTCGTCAAGCCAAAGATGAACGCACCTTCCATGTTTTCTACCAGCTGCTGGCTGGAGCCGGAGAGCACCTCAAATGTAAGTAGACTGAGCTTGTACACCACCTGTTTCTTTTTCCCTTTGTCTGTTGGCAGCTTAACTTTGTAAAGATAAGTTAAAGATGAAATTAAAACAATTACATAGTTCATATTTAATTTATATTCATACCAAGTGTTGTTAACAATTCATCAGAATCAGTCTTTACCTTTTGAGAAAAAAATCATGTCTTAACCATGTTTCGCAATGTTTTTCCGCTTCTCTTTCCACAGCGGACCTGCTTTTGGAAGGATTCAACAGCTACCGTTTCCTGTCCAACGGTAACATCCCAATCCCGGGCCAGCAGGACAAAGACAACTTCCAGGAGACCATGGAGGCAATGCACATCATGAGCTTCGCCCACGAAGAGATTCTGGGTATGTTTTCCATAACACCAGCATAAAACTATGTAAACATAACAAATTCCTCAAGGAACTTTCACTCGTTTTATATTTTTGTATGCCCTGCATCTTTATAATGTGACGTATTTCCGAGTGAACAGAATATGTGGGCAGTGTGTCACTTCTAGAGGGATTTGGTCAAATTCGTAATTGGTTCAGGGTTTCCGTGGGGTCTAAAAAAGTTTAGAATTTGAAATGGTGAAACCTGCAGAAACTCTGTGGTTGCATAGTCAAGGAAAAAATTTATATATTATTAGAATTATTATTATATTTTGCATATAATAAGAGATAAATGTTTTATATGGATGATCTAAATTTACTTACTAAGTACTAATTGTATTCTTGTATATTTTTGTATATTTATGGATTTGGTATATTCCTAAAGTGATGTCTTACCATAGTAATATTGTTTTTTCTGTGTTGTTAAATCTGTAGCCATGTTGAAGGTGGTGTCCTCTGTGCTACAGTTTGGTAACATTATCTTTAAGAAGGAGAGGAACTCTGACCAAGCCTCTATGCCTGATAACACTGGTAGGTATCCCCCACCCCCCCACACACACACCTTTTACATCTGCTTCATAACCTTGGAGCTTGGAGCTCACAGGTCAAAACATCCTCCCTTTTCCTTTTCCCATATATACTTCAAATCCTCTGCTCCCCTTTTCCTGCCTCCCTCACACTGTGTACCTCATCCACAGAACAGAGGAACTGGTGATTTATGTCTTTTCTCTCCCCGAGCCTTGTCAACCTGCCATTAAGCCACATCATTATGAGGATTTACTCCTGAAGGAAATGGAGCGCAGCCTTCCAGTTCCTCCACATGTGGCACTGCATATTTGGCACTTAAAAGAGGGAGACTGGGAGAGAGAATGAGTCTAATGCTGGTGATACAGCTCGGCCAGATATTCCCAAATGCAACAAGCAGAACTCAGGACTGAAGCAGATGTTTTATTTTAGTAGTGAGATTTGGCTCATCTAGGTCCTGGTTTTTCTACTTTTCCACAAGCTCCAGCCATGTAACATATTTTCCCTGTCACATTTTATAAGAAAACATTTTTGAAAGATTTTAATAAATCTTAGTATTATTCAGTAATAGTATTGTTGACCTGCCATCTTTGACAGGGACACTATGGCTTTTAGAGTGGTTTGTGAAACTATGTATTTATTATACAGGCCTGTGTTTAACATACAGGTGTAAGTCAACTGTACAGTTTCTTCCTTTCTTATGGGTTTTGAGCTTTGTCCATCTCTGTTTCCCAGCTGCTCAGAAGCTGTGTCATCTGCTGGGTATGAATGTAATGGAGTTTACCAGAGCCATCCTGTCCCCAAGGATCAAAGTAGGACGAGACTACGTCCAGAAAGCGCAGACTAAAGAGCAGGTCAGTTAGCTGCATTTCCTTTACTGACCTACACCATGTACTTCTATTTTTGGTGCTGACCGAGATCCTTAGTAACATTAATAATGATCTATCAAAATTCAACTGAAGTAGGTCTGTTTTATTTTCTGCATAGACAGCGTTGGGTGACTGCGAGTTTGATGAGCATAAACTCTCCCATTTGAATCATCCGCACAAAAGATAGCAACTGCGTTTGAAAATATCTGGTTTTAATAAAACAAAAAGTCAAAGGTACAAGCTAGTGTACATAAAAAGCACAAATAGAGACATCAACTATGTTAAGAAAAACATCCAATCAGCACGCTTAAAATTCAGTTTTATGTGTTGTTAATAAGGAGTGGAAAATATGTTGGTTTTTTTTATTAGAAAACTGGTAACAAAATCTGGATGTTAAATTTATTAACTTTCAGGTTCTGCGTCAGATTTGGATGATGTCTGCAATCTTAGTGTTGTGTTTTGTTCACAATTGCTACAACAAAGCCTTTTTTAATTCTGTTTGGATCCTCTGACTGGCTTATTCTGCAGTAATGGCTGAGCTCTATGGATATTGTTGTATTAAGATCCTTCAGCTTACTCTGAAGTTGAAATGATATAAAACAGATGGCCATAACAGAGAAGATGTGTTGTTGAAATGTATCTGATAACTTGCCTTGTTTCATATTGTACTGGACACAAGGGAAGGATAGGTTTACCTTCTGTGAAACCACTCCAAACTACATCTCATATTTTATGAATCATTCATTGCCATTTAAAGTGCAGTCCTCCTGCAGACTTCTGATCATAAAGGCTACAGCCTGATGGATACTTCTGTTTTAGATATGTCTGACTCAGAAAACATGTTGGAACATTGGTGGTCTTGCTAAGATGTATGATGAGTCCATTTGTCCAGTGTAGTTTTCATTGTGAGGAACTGGGAGCTGGGTATCTTCTTTGTTGTCTCACCACTCTTCCTCTCCTCGCTTTCCCCCCTCCTTTCAGGCTGACTTTGCTGTTGAGGCCTTGGCTAAAGCGACATATGAGCGTCTGTTCCGCTGGCTGGTCCATCGCATTAACAAAGCTCTGGACAGAACCAAACGGCAGGGTGCCTCCTTCATCGGCATCCTGGACATTGCGGGTTTTGAGATTTTCCAGGTTTTGATGAAAATCTTTTGAATTTTTTTAATCTTTAAAGAAGTTTGTCCTGTTGTGGTTAAATTAAAAGTTTTGTTTTTGTTGTCATCTACGCACATTTCCACTGAAAAGTATTGTTCTTCCTTTGTTCCCGACTACAGCTGAACTCATTTGAGCAGCTATGTATCAACTACACCAATGAAAAGCTGCAGCAGCTCTTCAACCACACCATGTTCATCCTGGAGCAGGAGGAGTACCAGAGGGAGGGCATTGAGTGGAGCTTCATCGACTTCGGCCTCGACCTGCAGCCCTGCATCGACCTCATTGAGAGGCCGGTCAGTGTGAATGATTAGCTTGTATCAATGAGATCCACTTTTTCAAAACATACCTACTTAAACTACTATTTTCCACTTTATCTTGAATTATTGTACCTGAATCGGAAAGGAAAAGTTACTTAAGCCTGGCTTTTGTCTTTTAGTGTCTGTCTTAACTTTCATTTGCGTAGAGAAAAAGTTGTTGTTGGGGCACTAGGGGTTTAAGATGCTGAGCACAAGGCTCCTATCAAATAAACACAAAAATGTCTTACAGTTGGGTCATGCAATGTTTACCGTCATGCTCTCTGAAGCCTTAAGTTCTGTCCCATCTTGATATTGCTTCAGGCGAACCCTCCAGGAGTGTTGGCTCTGCTTGATGAAGAGTGCTGGTTCCCCAAGGCCACGGACAAGACCTTTGTAGACAAGCTGACCCAGGAGCAGGGCACACACACCAAGTTCCAGAAGCCCCGACAGCTCAAAGATAAGGCCGACTTCTGCATCATCCACTACGCCGGCAAGGTACCCTCATTTTATTTCTCTCAAAATCACACTCCGCAGGTTTCTGTCTTTGCTTTACTGAAAATACACTGTTGGTGTTTCTGGAAGACACCAAGTCCAGAAAAAATAAAGTGGAAATGATCTTGGAAATTGCAGTTTATCGAAAGGATGAAGCTTTTCATTTTTATGGCGCATGTTTATAGGGCATAAGTCAGGCTCTCTTCTTAAAAGCACTCACCAAGACAGACACATAGGAAAAAGACAATCATATTCTTAGCTTTTATGACTTAGAATGCACTTAGACTTTAAGTTTCTACTTTTGTTCTTTGTGGGACCAGCTTCTTTATTTTTGTCTACATTCATAGTTTCTCTTTTCCTCCCTGATCTTCTCCTGCAAAAATTAAACGGCAAGTAAAAAGTTGCTGCGTTCAGCGCTCAGATTAAAGAGTAACTCCAAGTTCTCCTGTGGTGGGATTTCAGGGAAATACCGTGTCCTGGTTTGATTTATATGGCATTGTATGAAATAGGATTTGGAAATTGTCAGTGCTGTTATGCAATAGGACTCAGCACTTGTGTTGCAGAGAGACCTGCAGAGTAGCACATCTGCTTACCATTATGTGGACTGTGTCGTTTTACACCACAATCAGTCAAACACTCGTCTGCTGTGGAGAAAAATCTGCAGCGCCATGAAGCCAAATGTTGTCAACATAGGTATGCACACAAAATATGACCTCATGTATGCGGTTTGAATCAGTAGAATAAAGCATAGCCTGTAAATTTAGTCAGCATTTGAAGTGGGTCACCATGATGTATGTCAGATGGACAAATGCATATTAAGACTGTACTGACTAACTGTACTGTATTCAATAGTGTTTTAGCGTCCCAGGCCGCAATACACTTGATTAGCTAGTTACACAGGTAATCACTTTGATAGATCTGACATTTCCTCTCTTCTGTTAAACAACCAGCACATCCCAAGATAAGCTCTCTCAAAATCTAATTTTAAATATGATGTATATCAAACCTGTATCTCAAATACATATGTGTATTTAAATATACAGATATATCTGGTGTCAGTATTTGCATTGTCAGATGTCAACACATCCCCACACACTTCCAGTTAGACTTTTAGACTTAGATTTTTAAGGCTGTTACCAATATTGATATTTGAGAAATCTAATGGATATAGATAGATAGATAGATAGAGATAGAGATAGAGATAGAGATAGCTAGATTTAGAGATATAGCTAGCATTGGCTGTATGGCCAACATGTTTGACATATGCTACACTATATACTGTACACAAAATATGCCATATGCCGATAGGTAATAAAAATGGAAGTACATAAATGCTAAAAATATTCTAAAAATATTCCATTAAAACAGATCTTAATCAAAAATGTTTGTCCTTGTGTTAACGTAAAAACACAATTATATTGGCAGGTATATCGTTAGCAGATTGTTCAGAAAATAAACATGGAATCTGCTGCAAAAAATCCAGTACCAGTCAGACTGTAATTGTGGTATTGATTTCGTTCATATGACTGAGTTGTTCAACGTCTTTGTTACAGGTGGACTATAAGGCAGATGAGTGGCTAATGAAGAACATGGACCCCCTGAATGACAATGTGGCCACACTTCTTCATCAGTCAACTGATAAATTTGTGGCTGAACTTTGGAAAGATGGTAAGCTGCCACTAACACTACAAAACAGTACAAGATACAAGAAGGAGTTGCTTTTTAGTAACACATCCTTTAAGATTCATTATGTGTACCTGTTTGCTTATTCAATTAAAAATACGTCGATATGTCACTCACTCAAACCTACTACTAACAGCTGTCTGCTTTGTTGACCCAGGCCTATACATTTCTGATTTCTAAGGATTAACATCACCTTCCCCCCACTGTCTCTCTCTCTGTGTTGTAGAGATTCAGACCATTCAAAGGGCTTCATTCTATGACAATGTCACTAGTCTGGATGAGCCGGCAGGTGAATGACTGGGTCGTGCCGTAGCAGACCTGGGCCAAAATAATACTAGCTGAAAATGAACAGTTTTGGGTTGCGAAAACAAGCTGTTCACAGTGCTTGGTAGGCTAAATAATAAGCGCCTCCCAAGCAGGTTCTGATATATTTTTGCCCAGATCTGGCTGTATGTTTCACGCTTCAGCCGATGCTGTGTCCGTCATGGCTACAATGGCTCCCATTTGCTTCCAGGCTGCATGGCTCCCTTGTCTCAGCCAAAAGCAGTAGTGCCTAATTCCTCAACAAGTTAAAGTAGAATGTAAGCATCTGCTCCCTCTAGTCAAAATAGTGTGCTTTAATTTGTGTCAGTATTTTTGTAGGCGGACTTGAGTCTTGTGATCTTTGGTGCAGAAGTCTGGACTTCAAAGCTTATTTGTATTTTTGTCCCTCCTCTGTGATGTCACACGTCCACGAGCAAATTAAGGATTTGAAGCTTGACTGAAGAAAATGTAATGACATTAATTTCCCGCCATTCTCCTTCCTAGCCAGGATCACAGTAGCAGGGAGTTAAAACCAAATGTTGGTATTGGCTCTGAGCTCAGACAGCGAGCCATACATCACATCAGTTTAAATGTTGAAACTCCAGCTGTCTGTGACTCATCCAATACTTTAATTTAGTCGGATATTAATAAGTGACATAGTGTATATTTAATTGAGTGTTAAGTCCTGTGTTATTGCCAGATTATAAACAGATGTACTATGATGGATTAATCTGGTGATATATGTCACCAATTTATGTTATTATCAAGAATTCTCATGAAAAGACCAAAACCAACTGTGAATTGATCGCAATAATAATAATAATTGTCTGTGTATCCAAAGCCTGATTTAAATTATTCCTTTGTGCCATATAATGCCATTGATGCCTAAAAGTGATTAACAACAAATCATTGAGCCACACTGTTGCACTGGCTGACGTTGTCCTATTTATTTATTTATTTTTTTACAATACACATGGGAACTGTAGTTTATTATCATTATCTTACCTTCTAATCCTAACTCAAACTGTAAACTCAAGTCTGTAATCATCCTGTCAGGCCTGTATCTGTGTTAATGTAAAATGTACACAAGACTGCCTGTATCCTTGGTAACAGTGTTTTCAACGCCTTAAATGTTGACATCACACTGATGAGTGAAAACACTCACACCAGAAAACCATACTGTTAGTGCATTGCAGCATGTGGAATGTGGGACTTGTAGTCTTCGAACCAGCAGCACCCACACAACCCACACCACACATTGTGTAAACAAGATTACAGAACAATATTTATAACTTTAACTTTAGCATCCTGCCTCTGGCTAATATCTACATCTGTCCACTGCAGAGGAACCATCCACAACCTGGAGGAGTAATATAGTATACTAATGTAACATTAAATTATATTTTCAATATAACACTATACTTATATGTATAATATTAAAATTAATCATATGATGTCATTATGTTCATTGTAATTTCATATAATAGCTTACTATATAGCTCACCAATAGTATGATATTGATTCCAGTTATAGCGGTAGGACATCCAACTTTTTTAATGTCCCGCCCCATTCAGATATGGGCGGTTCATGAAAAGTGAAATTGAAGAGCTAATCAACTTTATATACAGTATAAAACATTGTTTTGACAAAAGGCACAGATATGGCTAAATGGCAAGCTAGCCTTCTCCATATTTTCTTCTTCAGTCTTACAGTTGATCTGGTGTTGAGGATCTTCCAGAGGATGATGTGGGCGGGCACATAATGAAAGTGGGCCGACAACGCATATCTCTCGCTCTTGTTTTTGTATAATGGGCTGCTTGGCCACCGAGCAGCAGGATAATCTATCCTCACACACTGTGCTTGTAAATAATTTTCCGGGTTCGCACATGTCTATTTTTAGGGGCAGACGCACTAGTGTTGTAGTACTCGAGACCGGGCTTGGTCTCTAGACCACTTTTTGATGGTCTTGATCTAGTCTCGGACTCGACCTCATTTGTACTCGGCCTTGTCTCGGTCTCGGACATTGAGGACTCGGGATTTTATTTCAAGACCATAATTTTGGGAAATCATTAAATTGCTTTTGCATTCATTCATTTGTTAACATCCTAACTTAGATTGGATGTAAAACTTATTGCTTGAAATGCAACCAATAACCCTAATTGACCCTTCGCTAAGCTACACCCCGAATACAAAGTTGACCAATCACAGAGCAATATAGGACTCTCTCTAACTGAGGTCCGACATTTTCATGGCTGTGCTCCATTCACTCTAATGCAAGGAGTCGTTTTCTAGCTTTTTTTTGCTATATTTTTCCAAGATGTGGTCAAAGCTGTTCCTGGGGCACCTGTTCCTGTCGCTACCCAGAGAGGTTGATAGGAGAAGTACAGTTTATTCTCTTTCCAAAACCTAAAATAAAGAAAAATTTCGGCTAATGTAATGTTAGTTAGTTAACGCTAGCTAACTTCCTACTGAATATAAAGTAATAAAGCCCTACTCATCTGCTTTTTAATGATTGTAATAGTGAATAGAGGCCTACCCAGCTTTACAAGAACAGTGTTGATCCTTAATATCGTTGTCTTTTGTCTCAATCGTCGGGGGATGTGGTGGTTCACTCTTACTGTGTGATCGGTATCCAGGAGTGCAGCAATAGACGGGGCAGCAATGGCAGTAATGATAATTATAGTAATCTACACTGAACAAAATTAGAAACACAACACTTTTGCATCTTGATATGCCACACCTGTGAGGTGAATGGATTATCTCGGCAAAGGAGAAGTGCTCAATGACACAGATTTTGACAGATTTGTAAACAATATTGGAGAGAAATGGGCCTTTTGTGTACATAGAAAAAGTCTTAGATCTTTGAGTTCAGCTCATGATGAATGGGGGTAAAAACAAGTGTTGCATTTATAATTTAGTTCAGTGTAATTTTTTTCAATAACAATATAACATGTTTAATAAAGGTTTGATGTAATTAATTTCAATCACAAATGAATTAGCACTTAATTTTTCTATTAAGATATTTTGTTGAGGAAAAGGGACTGAAAAAAGATTTTACTTAATTTAACTTATGCATTATTGTTGAAAAGATTTTATCATAATAGATTTGAATGTTCTACCTCAGATTTGTGAAGTGATCCACTGTTTGGCATCAAGTAGTTGATCTGACCAGAAAGAAAAGTTTAAAACCACAATTTCCATGTGCCTTCAAATTTTAAAGAAATAATGACATTTATCGTGTTTATTATCGATATCAAATGATATGACATTTTTTATCTTGATAACATTTTTGGCCATATTGCCCAGCTCTAGTGGATGGTAAACATGGAAAAGGAGTGTTGAATAAAGATGCTTTTAGCTCTAGTGTGTGTGTTTGTATATGAGTGTTTTAATGGGAATGTAGATCTTTCAGATCAATTTGAGAAGTACCTATGATGTTGTTCCGCATTTTATTGTGTGTCATGTAATGTGGGGAACTGGTCTTGGTCTCGACTTGATCTCAGCCCCTAAAAGTCTTTGTCTTGACTTGGTCTTGTTGTGGGTGGTCATGACTACAACACTAAGACGCACTGTAGAGCCGTGTCATAAGCAGTAAAAAGCTGCATCGTCTCTCATCCACTGTGACCAGAGAAAAGCCTTTCAATTCTCGCATTCAAATGTTGTTGATACTTAGTGAGTAAATCATATAAAAATTGTGTTTATTTCATATAGCACCCTGTATGTACAGACCCTTAGTCTTAGGAATAGATAAGCTACCCACTCCATCTCCATCTGCAGTAGCTAGTGGCAGTTCTAGACATAGAATTATACTTTGGTAGACTGCCATTGTTTTCATCCATCTGCACTTGGTCATGTAGCTACATTATGTCACTGTGTTGCTGCTGCTGTTCCTACAGTGCTTCTCTGCTCCCCAAGTCTTCCCACTCTAACCAGTTCTCCCCATCTCCCCACCAGTCGACCGCATCGTGGGCCTGGACCAGGTGGCAGGAATGAACGAGACAGCCTTTGGTGCCACCTACAAAACGAAAAAGGGCATGTTTCGTACAGTTGGACAGCTCTACAAGGAGTCGCTCACCAAGCTCATGGCCACACTGAGGAACACCAACCCCAACTTCGTCCGCTGCATCATCCCCAACCATGAAAAAAGAGTAAGTATGCTGACCCATAGAGAAAACACACAATAACAATCGGAGAAAAGATCTGTGAGAAATTGTATGATAGAAATCTAGAAGTATCCAAATACTTGTTTCTATTCTTAATGGTGTATTTGTTTCTTCTTCAGGCTGGTAAACTGGAGCCTCACCTGGTTCTGGACCAGCTGAGGTGTAATGGAGTCCTAGAGGGCATTCGTATCTGCAGACAGGGCTTCCCCAACCGCATCGTCTTCCAGGAGTTCAGACAGAGGTGACAGACAACAGAGATGCTTTTTTAACTCTTTACCTCAATTAACACAGAAAAGTTGGTTTCATTTTCAGTTTATATGCATGTTCTCTTTTGTTCACAGATATGAGATCCTAACACCCAACGCTATCCCCAAGGGATTCATGGATGGTAAACAAGCCTGTGAGAGAATGGTAGTGTTTTTTTTTTTATTTGCTGTATTTCGTTCTTAAAACGACTACCCTGGAAACAATAACATACTGTGTATTCTGCTGAGCTATTGAATTTAAGAACTGCTGGATCCCTCCTGTCAGGAGCTATGGAACCAGAGGAACTCAGAAACTAAAAGTGACTTACATATTTCTGTTTGCATTTCCATCTTATCTGAAGAATCATGAGGATTTACAAATTGAAACATTTTCACACATAAGGAAACAACAATACAGTTGTCCTGTTGTTCTTTGTATTTACTGTTGCATGACTCTGATGTTTGAGTTTGATGTAATGAATGAATGAAGAGGAGATGTGCAGAGGAGAAAGGGAGACCGGAAACTTCTGAGTCCCTGTCTCCACAGTGACAATCTGCTGAGTTTTTGATGGTTATTTATTCCTGCTTTTATCAGAAAATTAAGTACAATTTCTCTCATTTACTCCCTCCTGACTCCCGCTCTCTATCGCTTTTTAAAACGAGTCTGGCAACGAAGCCTAACTTTGGTTTTAACATGAATAAACAACACTAAGTGTCGACCCTTTTGTCTTAATATTGATAGTTGAGTACTTATTGTTTTATGAGTGAAGCACTACTCAAGTTGAAGCAGCCGCGCTGTCTGCGTTTTGATCAATCAGCTACCGTCCAAACTCCACCCCTCCAAGTTCCTGAACCATCAGAAAGTACTACAATGACTGTTTTTACACCTGGAACTGTCCTGCAGGAACTATATTTATAGTCCCTTGTTCCTCAAAAGCTTCTTGGCCCCCTTGAAAAACTCCTGCAGTGTAAACACCCTAACAGAAATACAGAAATGATTGTAATGTCAAACTGTTTCCCAAACTAGAAACATTTCCTAAATGTATTCAAACACAATGTGAATTTAACCATGCCCACAGAGGTAAACTCTTAAAAACTCTTCATTTGCCTTTTATAGATCCGAGCCCTGGAGCTGGACCCGAACCTGTTCCGTATTGGTCAGAGTAAGATCTTCTTCAGAACTGGTGTTCTGGCTCACCTGGAGGAGGAGAGAGATCTGAAGATCACTGACATCATCATTTACTTCCAGTCTGTGTGCCGTGGATACTTGGCACGCAAGTGAGTGTCAGATCTTTGTATCTAACTATTTCTTAGGTATGAACATATATCTGCGTTTGAATTCCCAGCATGCATCACATTGCTCAAACTACCCCCAGAAACAATGTATCAAATGACAATATGAAAGTAATGTGATACTGTGAAGGTTACTGGTAGTGATGAACCTACAGAGAATTGTCACCTGAATCTGCAGCTCTGCTTAGATTTACGGAGCTTTATTGTGAATTTCAACTTCTTGTTTAGCTGTCTGACCTAAACTTTAATGCTTTGGTTCACTGTCGCGGCTCTTCTAGCGTTATTTACAGCCGCAGCAGGAAACATCAGACAGATACAGTTAGCAGCTAGCTGGTGAACATAATGAAGCATTTAGCAGCTAAAGATCCAGATATTTCCCTCACGAGTTGGTAGTGACCAAAAAGAGCTAAAAGAGAATATTGGACTTCATATGACTTTCAAAACTTGGGTTTTCCCAGACACCGATTTGTCGCTTGTTATTATACCATTGTCTTCTTCCCATAGGGCCTTTGCTAAGAAGCAGCAGCAGTTGAGTGCCCTAAAGGTCCTTCAGAGGAACTGTGCTGCTTACTTGAAGCTGCGACACTGGCAGTGGTGGAGGCTCTTCACCAAGGTGAGAACCCTGACAGCTAAACCCCTGATGATCTGAGCGTTTTCAGAAATTAGTGATTTGACGCCTCAAAAATGTCTTCAGTTAAAATAAAAGACTAAACAGACGATAAAGAATACTAAAATGTGTCCGCTAGTCCTCATCAGGAAACTGAGTTTGCTGAGTTGCTGTGTAAAGGTCCGTAAGAAAAGAAATAAAATTTATTTGATAAAATATCGATATATTGAATATTTTTCCCTGCTTGCCTTTGACATTGTTTTTTTGTTTGTGATTGCGGGCTGTTGGGAGACGCTATACACCTATAAACTAAAGTGAGCCCTAGACAGAGTGGATTGTAAAAACAGGAAGCTGTTTGTGGAGTTTAAGTCGACGCTATGCGACCCGCAGCAAATACTGTTGCTACTACTAAATATTGTATCTAAAAGCTCATCTAATCATAACATTTTTTTACTGAAATTCATTTGATTGATTTTTTTCATTGCTTAATACATTCTGCTACTCATTTAGGAATTTATTATTTTATTTTTGTTATATACTACTGGGAAGTGCTGACAAAAATGTGATTATAGATGTCAATAAAAGGTAAACCCTACTGGTGTTTTTCATTCCTTGACCAGTATGACCATGAAAGAGTTATTAAATTGCATTGTGTGGGGTATTAAACCCTGGTTGATTCTCTCGCTCTCTCTCTCTCTCGCTCTCTCTCAGGTGAAGCCTCTGCTGCAGGTCACCAGGCAGGAGGAGGAGATGCAAGCCAAAGACGAGGAGCTGATAAAAGTGAAGGAGAGACAGCTCAAGGTGGAGAATGAGCTGGTGGAGATGGAGAGGAAACACCAACAGGTAAACGCATCCAAAGTTACTTCAGAGAAACCTCATTCATTTTTGGTAGACAATTGAAGTAACTAACCTCGTAGCTAATAAGGCTGGATAAGTTATTTCAAACTGTTCCCTCTGTCCAGCTCATAGAGGAGAAGAATATCCTAGCAGAGCAACTCCACGCGGAGACGGAGCTGTTCGCCGAGGCCGAAGAGATGAGAGTTCGTCTGCTTTCTAGGAAGCAAGAGTTGGAGGAGATCCTTCATGACCTGGAGTCCAGGGTGGAGGAAGAGGAGGAGAGGAACCAGAGCCTGCAGAATGAGAAGAAGAAGATGCAGTCACACATCCAGGTTGATATCGTCACCTAATTCAACTTAACTTCTCTCTCCTGCGTCTGTTTTGACGTGCTTTTTTCCAAATTGATTTGATGTTATTGATCTTCACACAGAACATTATACAACATCAACAGATTTTCTTTATCTGTGAGTGAAGGGATCCTACATAAACTCATCCTTTTCTACCAAAGTTTGAGTAATTTTACGTTAGATATTTCTGCATTTCTTTCTTCTCTGGGCTCTTATCACTGGTCTGAAGTGGTTTCAGAGTACTTGGTGCACTCAGTGAAGAAGTGAAGCTCTGTCTCAATGACTTGTAGGTCACAGGCTTGTCTTCTGTTGGTAGCCATGTTTGTCTGCGTCCACTTGTTGCGAAGGCCAGGCGGTGTCTATGCCTTAGTTGATATTTTTTTTCAACATTTTATCAGCTGTAGTGTTGAGATACGGGCTCATTTATTGCTGCATTCTATTGCCAAATAATAATTGATGAGTTTTTTGGGGAATTCTTTACAAAAGATGAAGTTGTTTTTGTTTAAATTGTGTATAATTTGATTAAACTGGCCTTAATATCTTCAGCTGCAGGCCTTCTGTGCTACATTCCTCTGTACTCTTGATAGAATTGTTCAGGGTTTCCACTGGATGTTTTCCCAATTTGAAACAAATCACACTATTTGATTGGGTACCAAAGTCCACTATCGTAAAGTGCTGTTGGTTCAGTAACTGCTTTGAATATTTTCAGCCAGATTTAAATCACATGTTTGTACTGACCTATGTATGGTATAAAATGCTGTTTTTTTCCTTTAGTTCTTTCACAGCAAATAAAATTTATGTTTCCTCTAGAGATTTTTTCCATGTTTTGGGGCTTTTCTGAAAGAGAGCTACTTTGTTTTTTTCAATATTTGTCAACATTTCCTTCTTTTGTGCCTCTTTGATGGCTCTGCTTTAGTCTTGAGAGACACACACACTATGCCAACACATGCGCACTGACGCCCCAGAGTAAGGGTTACAATTTTGGATTAATTTACGCACTTTAAAAACATTTGTTGAAAGTTTTTTTTCTTTTTAAATGTTTATTTACAGCATTAAACATTGAAATGTATATTGTAATAGGCTGTATATTAACTTTATAGGGAGAAAACTGGTAGTTCTATTTTAAAATCAGACGTTGAGCACCCCTATATGGCCAAAATGGCATGATCCTTGTTTCGCTGTGAAGCTTCGACTGAGATTTACAGTCGAATCAGGCTCCGCCCATCGAAGCATCGAATCTTTGACTATTCAGGGTCAGCCCTACAATAAACATTTGATTTCAGTACCACAGGAAGACAGACCTGGCTCTGTCTGGTAATCCATTCATATAGAGGTTGATACATGAAGAACTGACTCCACACAGTCTCGTCTAACAAATCTGATCAAAACACACTAAATCGCTGAGTTTGTGAGTGTTAAACTCTAAAGTTTTTACTTTGTCACTTTATAAACTTCAGTGTTCAGACTTCACCCTTGTCGCATTAGATTGGTTATGAATCTTTATGTGTGTGTTTTCTTCTCCACAGGACTTGGAGGAGCAGCTCGATGAGGAGGAAGCTGCAAGGCAGAAGCTGCAACTGGACAAAGTGACAGCTGAGGCGAAGATCAAGAAAATGGAGGAGGACATTCTCCTGCTGGAAGACCAAAACTCCAAGTTCCTCAAGGTGAGTGGATTATATGATGGGTCAAACAAGAACCAGAATGCAGAGTAAGTCCTTCAAGTTGAGATTGTAAAAAGTATAAGGTGATGGATGAGGCAGTGCAACACAAAATACAGGTCACTTTAGTTTGATTTTTAAGTCTTCATAACTTTTCACCTCTGCACAGTAGTTGTGTCTTAAGGCCTCCAGTCTGACCCACACTTAATTTTACCCCAACAGGAGAAGAAGCTGCTGGAGGACAGGATTGGCGAGATGACCTCCCAGCTCACGGAGGAGGAGGAGAAAGCAAAGAACCTTGGCAAGATCAAGAACAAGCAGGAGATGATGATGGTTGACCTGGAGGGTAAGGCACTCTGATGTGCAGCAAGTCGCTGTTACTGGCTCTATTTTCTGTCCAAGAACAGGGAACATTTACTAGAACAGACACAAAGTAATAGATGGGGTGGGCACTGTTGCAACAGCTCAAATGGTAGAATGGGGTCAAGAATAGATAATGTCCTCAAAGCAAGAGGAAGAATTAAGTCTTTTTTTACAGGTTTAAAGGTTTTGTTTAATTTACCTTTTACAGCTGTACAATGAGTGAACCTTTAAATGCATACTTCAGGTCTTCAGTGACTAGGGACTTATTCACTCTGTCTAATTCACTCATTTCATCCAATAAAGCACATAATCCTGCTATTCCTCAAACTATTTGTTTTTAACAATGTTCTGGTGTCAAAAATGTTAAAAGGAATTGTTCTTCTCATGTTTTTCTGTAAAAAGATTGTTGGATCACTACAGACCGAGAAGTATGGAAGAGTGTTTATCTTTCTTATTCACAGTATTCTGGAGGTCATGGCGGGATATGAGTGTTTTCCTTTTTGGCCTCACGATGGCGCTGTTATGTCACTGTTAGTATGAATATGTACCGACACAATGATAAAAAAGTTATTTTATATCAGCTTACTGTCACAGTAATAGCACCTGGGTGTCAGGTGAAGTGCAGAGCAGCGGTTTCTTTGTTCCTGAAGGGTTTTGATGACTGTAACAAAGATGTACCTGAGGCCACTGATGAAGAGGAATTTGTTTTTGTTCCATCAGGTCAAAATTAAAAACACTGAATTGGAGTTTGAGTCGGTCCATGCGTGCTTAATCCACAAAACAGTGTGTGCACAACCATGTTATCGTGACCTCCAGCAAGTGACTGATTTGTTTACTGTGCTGAATAATGGGAGTTCATGAGAAGTTACAGTAAACATGAAATATAACAGTCGAATTAAAATAAAAATAAAACAATCTGACATCTATACAAGATTGTTAAAAAATGTAATAAATGACAGATATATTTTTATGTGTTTGTTATTGTTAACGATACATTCTGAAAAGTGTACAGGTGATATGATTTGAACATAAGACTTGATCGGCATTGTATAAGTGCCCAAGACCTGAGTATGTAGGAATGTTTGAAAAAACTCCGGTGCATTTAAAGCTAAAGCAGCTAATCTGATTACATTAGTTGTATCGGCTGTTAGCAATTAGGTGTTGTGACCTCTTCTTACCTCGTGTGACCCCTCAGTAACTTGTGACTTTGCCATTTAACTCTGAGATTAACTTTAGCCAAAAGTTGTTTTTTAATAATTACATGGCTATGTTTGATTTTGCATTTTGTTCATGATTCATGTGATTTTGCCTCCCTTCAGAGCGTTTAAAGAAGGAGGAGAAAACGCGTCAGGAGCTGGAGAAGGCCAAACGCAAACTGGATGCTGAGACGACCGACCTGCAGGACCAGATTGTGGAACTTCAGGCTCAGATAGAGGAGCTGAAGATCCAACTGGCCAAAAAGGAGGAGGAGCTGCAGGCTGCTCTGGCCAGGTCAGTCATAGACATACAAACCTATGAAAGTACACACAACTGAAAGGACTGCATCAGACACCTTCTGCAAAATATAAAGTGCTGAGGAATTTTAGCAGTTATAGTTTACTATACCAACAGATGAATTGTGTTAGTATGCAGATGAGCATACGCTTTTTAATCTATCTCTATATACATATTAACACACAGGCAGATGCTGTAATGGACACTGAAATAATGCTGTGATTTGTTCACTCTTGGTACAAATCTTATATTTTGGTGTTGGACATTAGATTGAAGGTTTGAAGACGTCAGTGTTATGAAAACTCAGTTGCTTGAATCCTGACTGGACAGCAGGCAGAAAGGTTTTACAGAATTCATGGTTCAGTTTGACACTTAAATGTGATAGCATGAACATTTTCTTTTCTTAATTTTTTATTGATCAAACAGTTACACTGAATACAGAGCACTTTAACAATGTATTATGTTTTAGTGCTGGGCAAGTTAACGTGTTATCACGTTGACACATTAATTAATTAACACCGACAATTATTTGATCTCACGTTAACGCAGTTTTCACCATCATTATTTTTTGAAAGTCCATTGCTCACTGGCTCTGAATACACATACAGTCAAACTATGGGTCACAGGAGGGGTGGGATGTTGATCAGCCTGCAAATCACCCACCCAAACAAGCAGCGGAGGGAGGCTTCGGCAGACTACGTTGGATGCAGCATGTGGGAGAAGTAGATAAACAAAAGCAAGACAAGCGATCCAACGCCATAGCAAAGTGGATAGCTACACACTGGATGCTGATTAGTATTGGTGAAGATGTCGGTCTTAGAAACATTTTAAAACGAACGCGAGTAAATGGCAGGCACTCTATGGATAGTAGCCATGGTAACGGCTTCTTCAGTGTGCTACACAGCTGTAGCCTATTTAACTTAAGTTAAAATTATAGGCTATATAACTTTACCTGATTGGCCTTCATCTAGTTTTGCAGGGATGCTCTGCTGTGCGAATTCCCTCCTGTTGATGTCCTGTTTAGTAAACCGTAATAGATTCTGGAAACAGCGAGGATCAGTCTCTCTCTCAGTCTCTCTTCCAATGATTTGTGCTGCGCGTCGTGTACAAAAAGTTAAAGACAATTCAACTTTGGCAACTGCCGGGCGTGAGGCGAGCATAACTGCAACAGTTTCACAGGAACGCAACTGCTTGTTGCTACCAACCCCTTCACCTCACTCTAACAGTGACACTTGCTACTGAACACAGACTGTTTATGCTGCTCCTGATAAAAGAAAAATGTTTCTGCTGAAACAGGAAAACAGATTTATATGTTAACCTGTTGCTCAGAAGGTGCCTGTTATGATCGTGGCTCTGGACTCTAACTTGTTTTAACAAGCTAGATAAAAGGTAATGCCCTGGCAGTGGCAGATAGCTTTGATTTTATATTTTATTTGATTACAGTTAGAGCTGCAGCTAACAATGATTTTAGTACTCAAAGCTTCTATTATAATCAGATTATTTCACTGATTCATCGTTTAAGAAGTACTTTTGCTTGGCGGCGACCCCCCCTTCCCAACGGTACTGGGATCAGCTGTGCCAGTTAACTCCTGACTGTGACTTTACAACCCAAACTCACGGCCCAACCAGGAGTACAACAAACACGTGTGTACATTTTCATCTGAGGTCTGCGGCTTACTTTAATCGTGATTAAATTTTTTAATCGGTGCCAGCACTAGTATTTTTTTTAGGTTTATCTTAAAGCTGTCAACACATAGGCCTCTTTTTCCCCATTACCTCTTACACTCCCTCTCAGCCTGTAAGCACAATTGCAGCTGACATGCTACAAAAATACTGACAGTCAGCTCATTTCAAAACATGATTCCACAAAAACTGGGGAAAACGGAAGAGAAGATATAACGAGAAAATCTAGAGGAATTAAATTTGTAGTAAGTAAGTATGTGTTGGATCAGTGCAATGAAACTAACAAACATCTTTAGGCCAGACGGCTGCCTTAGAGGTGGCTGCTGAATTCCAGTTTAATATATTACCTCTTTTTGCCAACAGTCAAGCAAATGCTATTATATCATTTAATTTATTGTTTAGTGGCTGTTCATTGACTGGAAGCTCAAAGATATGAAGTGTTTGGCCTCAAGCTTATTAACATTTCTGAAGCACCTGATGATAATGTGCCTTACCTCTTGGCTTTTAAATTTAACATGACATTCAAATGTACAAAAGTATTCATATTTGAGCCTTTGCAATGATGCAGACATTATTTCAGCTAAACGACAGCATTTGAATTATTTATCCACGTGTAGTAAATCAAAAGCCTCGTGCTGAAGCATACAGTTCACTGAAGTGTTTTTACAGCCACTATGAGGCAGATGTACTCCTCAGAACTCGCATCACTACAAACCTAAACTGCTCTTTTCAGTGTGTAATGTGCAGCTTCACTTACAGCACTTCACTAGTGATGTACATCTCACCTCCATGACCGCTGCACTCCACACTGTGGTACAGCCCAGTCAATAGGAAGAACTAAAATAGACGTTAGAACAAAGACAACACTGAGTTGACTCTGACTTAAAGCAGCTAACGTCTGCTAAGTCAGCCTACTCCCTGCGCCCAGCTGCAGTGTTTGTGTTCGGCGACACCGGCTGAGACCTTTTCTCTTTGAGGCAGCCGTGTCTGATTACAGGCAGATTGATGTTGATTGATTCTCTCAGTCCTGGGCTTTGCAGCGTTTTTTCCACAAGAAGCAATGGAGCAGTGGAGGACAAACTATTAAGAAGTCAGAAGATTTTTGTCTTTTATGTCCTGATTGTGAAAAACGTTACCAGTTACAGCTGTAGAAGACAAGCGTCTTACCACTCTATCCCTGCAACAAAATATTTTCTTAATTTAGCTCCTCCGTTTATCCTGATTTTCCACACGGGGAAAGATATTCTAGGCATAATGTTAATTACATTCCCATTTAGCCGTCACAAGACTGCATGCAGATGAGGTAAACAACTGCGGAGGTCTTTGCTCTGAAGGTCAGCTGAGATCATTTTAATGTGGTGTCTCAGTAGTTTCCTCCTTACACCAGGCCAATCGTCCAGACTGTGGGGGTCAATGTCTGTCTGGCTAATTTCACACGCAGAAATCATCAGTTTATTCACAGCCCCAGATAATTAAGCTGTCATTAAACTTGGTGTGCCTCATTTTGAATTCAGCAGCTATTCTGAGAACAATTGTTATAATTGTTTGGAAAACGGGGAATTACTTTTATGTGGGTCATTAGTGCCTTCATCAAACACTGTGGCATTATGTTAATTATATAACTTAATCATTATGATATTCAGTGTGTTTATTGCTGGGTTTCTAAGTAAGAGAGGAATGTTAAGGTTGTTGCAGCCAACACGAATTTTACTTTTTACTACAGCAAACAAATTATTACTCTGTTGATCTTCTGACAGAACACACACACAATTTAAGTGCACAGCTTCAGCAGTGAACAGTTCACCACACTGCCACCCTGTGTGCACTGGAGGCCTAGTTCATTCAAATAAATTACATCATTGACTTGACTTTCATTTAATGTACAGGTTGTTACTTTATATAGACAATAAGTTTAAATAATTACAACAAACATTTACATCCCTTTGTTCTTGTGTTTGAGGACCGAAATATCCTCATATAAAAAAGACAAAACTAAATATTAAAACTGAAAAATACTAAATATAAATGAATAAACTGTATGAATCTATTTTATGTTTGCTTATTGCTAAAAATATGTAGTTAAATATTTAGTTGAAAAATCTGAAATAACTAAAAAAAACTGAAAGAAGTAGAAGTGGCGGTTAAAATGAGAGTGCTGACAGAAGATGAACATTTCATGTTAAAAGGGACTATATGTAAGTTTTTCAATGAAATTAATCAAATTGCCATTGCCTTATTGTCAATGGGTCAAAACTCACTTAGAAGTGAAGCACACGCCTGTTTTCTCCGTTGCTTGCATCAGCCACTATTCTGCTTTTAATGTGGGTCTCCAGGTCGGATTCAGCTCTGTACGCGCTCCCGAGCCTCTTTCATACTACAGCAACAACACGGCAGCTAACGACATGCAGTCCACTAACACCATAAAACAACCGGCTCAAAGCAAAACAAAGGCTCCACGTAAGGATACAAAACAACAATAAAGGTTTATGTGCTGAAGCCCATCAGACCAAACAGGTTCATCAGGTGATGTCGAGTAAGAACAAAGTGAGTATTAGTAAAGCTGGAGAAACGCAGAGAAAGTCACGTTAGCTCGCCGGCTAACGCTGAACAGTTGCTAATGTGATCTGGTCCAAAGTTGTATAACGTTAGTTGGTGAAGTAATATGGAAAGCTAACGCGACCGTGTTACTATTCTGTGTGCCACTGATGATTTAGCCTGAGAGAGGACGTAACGGTAAAATGCAAATGTGGAGCGATTTGTTTACTAACGTTAGCCTATAGTGATGCAGCCAGCTAACGCTACAGTAGCTCGGACCTGCCGCTGTTTGCTTCGTAACACTCCGTTTGTGTTCATTGTGGTTTTTATATACAGTACCAATAACGTTACTCAGGTACACAGCTTCTCCACCTCTCACTCGCTGTAACTAACGTGACCACATAACACAAAACACTGCAACAAAACGGCCACAACAACACAAAGAAGAGCCATCCACTATCACTAGACTCTAAATGTTATAAAGTGTGACACAATCGCATTATAATATTCAGTCCAGCTCACTAACCGTTTCATTATCATCCAATACATGTAGTTGTGCTGACACTGCTGAGCCTCCGTGACAGATTCACAGAAAGTAAAGATAGTTACTGAAAGCAGCAGGCGAGCTAACGATGTAGCACGTCGGCTAAATGCAGTAAATGTAACGTTATCATGTAACGAGCATGGATTAGTTCTGCATGCAGCTGATACAACTATTACTGTAACGTTGCAGTGGGAGTTTACCCGAGTTTCCAGCTCTGTCTGTTCTCCCTGTCTGTCTATAGCCGCTGTCACTCTGCCTTTTTTCGGGAGTATTGTGCCGATATGCGGCTCGCTGCGCTGAATGAAAGGTACGCCGCCGGTGTTGATCTGCCTCTGAGACGGGAACGTTGAATTAACAGAGCCTGAACATGTCTGAAGAAAAGCCACAGCCAGCATGCTGGTGTTCCTGCGTTTATTGTATTTCTGTATGAAAGTGGTTGTGTTTCGGATTATGCTCGTTTATGAGTTCAAACGAGCACGCGTACGAGCACACACCTGGTTGCAATCTTAGAACCGCTCCGCTAGTGGTCGCTGAAAACTACATAATGCCCCTTTAAAGTGTGAGATCTGAGAAAAGTTTAAGAATTGCTTAAAGTGAAGGTTGAAAGGAGTGGAAATGTCAGATGAAGTGTGGGTGATTACAGGGTCAATTGAAGTGGAAGTCCTGAAAGCAGTTGTGAATCAGCAGTGGAAGTTGTTGAAGTTTTTTTGTTTAAAAGGTGAAGACCAGAAAGGGTTTTAAGTATCAGTTCAAGAGTAAGCTCTAAAAAGGAGTGGAGGCTCCAGTTGAAGTGTATTATTTGAGGACCAAAATATTCTCACTCTAGATTCTTATGATAAAACTAAATAGTAAACAGTTAAAAAAAAAAACACATTGACTTTACCTGAGATATAAACTATAGAAGAAATCTTTGGAAATTCAGATCCTCAGCTGGAGGTCTAAGCTAAGTAGATGTTTTCATTGTTTTTATTACGAGGAAGCGTGGTTAGAGTCTACTTTGTGAAACTGACTTGTGTTCTTTGTGTCTCAACCAGGAGTAATGAGGAGACCGTCCAGAAGAACAACGCCTTGAAGCAGGTTCGGGAGCTGCAGGCCCAGCTAGCTGAGCTTCAGGAGGATCTGGAGTCAGAGAAGATGTGTCGAACTAAAGCTGAAAAGCTTAAGAGGGACCTGAGTGAGGAGCTCGAGGCTCTGAAGACAGAGCTTGAGGACACGCTGGATACTACGGCTGCCCAGCAGGAGCTTAGGTGCTTGTTTAAAGCTTGTTTATCAATGATGATAAAGGGGAAGTCCACAGATTTTACACATCAAGTCTGTTCACAGGTCTTGGGGAGTACTACTGCAT